GTTATTCACTACAAAGTCATTCGATTGCTCTATTCCTTCTAGGACAGCTCTTCTTGAGATTTCAATATTCATTCATGAATATATTCTACCTTAGACTTCTTAATACTTGTATGAGATTTAATTTTCGTATATTGCGATTTATATTCTTCAGCAATTATATGGATTTTCATAATCCACTTATTAATTGCATATTCCATAATCATTCAATTCAATTACAGAGATATAGTAGAACATTTATTTCTTTTTAGTAGGAGATTCACCTTCAATTGCTTTCTTCATTGACCCGATATAATCGCTGCAAACGACTTTGCCATGGACTTTATTTTTCGGATCTAGGTTCTTATAAGAGAAACATTTGCAATTATAGAGGTAGCGTTGTCGACAACTATTATTTTCTCTCAATATTCTCACAATGGTGAGATTATTATAACTCTTTGTCATTTTCCAAACAAGAGATGATTTGTTGTTCTACATACCCAACACTAGTGATGCGCACGCTTAGTGTGTTGGATTTTATCTTTATGATGATCCTCTTTATGAGGTGCTTAACCTTCTTCATGAGGCGTTCTCTTTATGAGAATGGAGGAGTATGTTCTTATTTTATTTAACAAGTATACACTCAACTAGAACACACAGGCGTCCCCGTAGATTTTAGCTTTATAGTATAGTATAGTATACAACATTTAGTTTACTACTAGTAAACACAACTTCTGATTTATAATTTCAAGTTACTCCTCTCATTTTCAAAATATCTAGCATATATTCCGCTTCATTCTTCACAAGAGCATTAGTCAAACTATTGTTTGATTTAGTGCATGATACTATTCCTGCTTCAAGCTTTAAAGAATATTTTTTCCTCTTAAGATCATTTTCCTTCCATAGAAATAATATTTGACATTCAAAATAATAGGCTTGCTCTTCCCCTAATGCCAATACTAGATCTTTAATAACATACTTCGAAAGATATCGCCTATCATAGGCTTAAAATAATTCAAATTCATGTATCTCCGATTACAAGCGGAGACCCATTTATGTATGCTATCATAAAATAAAATTTTATGGAAAATATTTACGCACAAATTTAAATATGGGGGTTATTATATAGTAAATGCAGCGAGCTAGAATACATAAAGTGCATTTAAGAATGTTCAGCATTCCTACAAACTCAGCGATGTCCCCCCCCCCTTGATTTGCACATATAAAGCTATTTTATTATCTAGCTTCTTTATTGTTTAGCCCAAAAAATGTTCCAAGTACTCATACATAAAAATTAGACCATATGCCTCAAATGTGTAATGCATCGTTCATATTCACATGGAATTTCTTCTAAAATATTCTAAGTGCCATTAATGCAAAAATCTCCAAATATCTTTTCTTCATAAATTCTAAATCATTATAAGTGTGTTATCTACCATCTTAATTCCACAATTATTCATCCCATCAATTTAGTCTCCATTGAGCTAATTTCATATTAACTCTCCCCCTGATCTCTGGCTGCTTGACCTTAGATCAATCTTATTGCTTATGCATGCAATGCATTAGAAAGCAACATATTCATTACTTAAATAAAAATTATTTTGGCATAACATGCTAGCTAGCCAATTTGATTATGAAGGAAAAATAGTAGCTACAAGCTACAAATATAGCTTCCATGCTAATATTTATGTAGGAGGGAAGATAGTTGCAGCTTAACGAAAGCACAACATAGTGATACATATTCGTGTGTAATGTGAAATGTTGGTATTCAATCCAACATAATAGATAACAACACAATGTAAAGGTACAAGCTTCCTTGCAATTAGTGAAATGTAGAGAAAGTTAACTCAGCCGGAAGGGCCGCGGCTAGGACTTTAAGTCCTGATACATGCACTTAAAGATAGATTTAGGAAGGCTATGCCTATTAAATATATATTACCCACATTTTCTTATGCCTTTATCCAAAATTTCTCTCCCTTTTCATGCCATAATTATTTCAAGTAGTAATGTGCTTCATGCATCATCTATGAATAATCATTTCTAATGTTCCATAGAATCTAATCATACTTCTAGTATCCATTGATTCAGACATGAAATTCACATATCCATGTACTATTTAGTGTACAACAAAATATTTAGGGTAGGACATTTTATGAGCTAAAGTATTAAATACTTAGTTTTTAGGATTATACTATTTCTTTGCTAAATTAATCCTTCTAAGATAAGTTAATATGCCAGTATAGTCTAATTGTTCATGTACTTTTAGGAAATTCAATTCCCCTTCTACCTACATGGTAGTAGTGCACAAAGATCTATAACCTTCATGGTTAACTGAGACTTTTTTTTGGATAAAATTAATGCAAAACTTATTTTGATAGGCAAAAATTAGCAATTGTTTATATGTGAAACATATAAGTCTAATTTGTTCCATGAGAAGTTAACATATATTACTTTAAGTAAGAATTGCAACTACGAATATTAAATATATCATATTAGTCTTCAAGCTAATAAATTAACGATGAACTCTTCTATGAGTATACAAGAACCACTTAATTCAATAGGAACTAAAACTTAAAGCACCACCACTACCACCACCAATACTTCAGGAAAGTAATTTTAAAGACAACAAATTTATAAACACATGATTTAAGTTTTTCTTCAAGAAAAACCCTTAAATATTATAAATAATATCCATTCTCGCATGTCTTAACTTCTATACATGACGGGCGGTAACTTCATGCTTTATTCAATAGTTATGATATACAGTCACAAGCCTTCAAGGGGTGTAACATATGCAAGCCACATAGTCAAAGCTACTGCAACTGACAATATCCTGGTTTATAAAGCTGTCTAAAAATTCCAACTCAATTTCTATATGAGTAATTTTTACGGTAAACTCAAATACTTCACATATTACATTGCTCTTTGATATTCTATACACAAGAGACATTTCTTCGAGAATATATATTGACAAAATCTTATTTACCATCTTGTCTTCTAGACATTTAATACAAAGCTTCAACTATTGTTTATAGAGCAGCATTATACCTAAATCTATAGGCATACAAGGTTGAAAATTCGACTTTCAATGCAAGATGATATTATGTAATCATAATTTGGGATTTTTCTCATGCATTGAGTCCCACAATACATTTGTTATTTCTCTCGGCCATATGCTCATTCTAGAGAGTAATCAGGAAATATATATATCCTGAGTTCACTATACTTCAGTGGTAGCAAAATATCCTATATGGATTTAATAATGACCATAACAAATAATTCTACTATTCGGAGTGATTCTAGGAAATTTCTTCTTCTTTTGAGGCATGTATATATTAACATAAATTGGATCATGTGCATGTAAGTTTACTACATGTAAACAAGTAGCAAGGTACAAAATATAGTGGACGGTTATTCAAAATATTCTTAGAAACATCCTAATATTTTTCAGGATTATGGTATATGCAATTTTCAGAATTAGTACCTAGCATTCGTTTGTCCCAAAAATTCATTATGCTAGAAAAAATAAATATGAGTCTCTCAAAGGTGATAAGTCTAAGGTCTGTAGGATTAAGAGAGCTCATACACCTTATATCATGTTTCTAGTGTAATCATTCAAGATTTTATTCTTGCAATTACATGATATATAATTCATAATGTGTGATAGATAAATGCATTGAAAAAAGCATAAGAATATTAACGCACAGCGTATATATAAACAATAAACAAATGTTTGTAAATAACATACACAAACTATTCTGCAGGAAAGAGTGCTTATTTGCTTAATTCAATGCCACTGTGATTTCTTTGCATAATCCAGATTTATTTTAGCTGATTATTTCTTATTTAATTGTACTCCGTATTCTGGCTAGCCCTAAGAGATAGGGGTCCTGCGTTCAAGTTCAAATACCATGGCCTAGGCCATGCAACCCCGACACGATGCATTCGGGACATCATTACCGTGCACACCGATTTCAAACCAGCTGTGAGCCATAGAACACGCATGTCGTTGATGCTGATGTCGGGACGTCCATGGAGACGAACATGCTGGTTTGCTACATGAATCGGCGGCGTTACGTGCCGACGGCTGCAAGGGATCCTTCTTCCGGTCACTCTGCACAAGCACAGGGAAGCAGGAGTACTACTCCGTATATATAACGAATTAACGATAAATAACGGTGCGTCCACGTGCAGAGCAGGATGACCTTGTTTAGTTTCCCCAATTCCTGAATTTATCACTATGCAAAAAGAAGATTCTCCGTTATATCAAATTTGCGGTACATATATGGAATACTAAATATTAACGAAATCAAAAACTAATTGCACAGTTTGGTTGTACTTTGCGAGACGAACGTTTTGAGCCTAATTAGTCAACGATCGGACAATTATTACCAAATAAAAACAAAACACTACTGTAGCTACAATAGCGCCAGAAAATCCGGCGGCGCCAATTCGGTGGCCAACTAAACATGGCCAGGAGGAAGGACGGAGCTAGCGCGAGTGCGATGGCGCCTGCCGCACACGACACTTTTGCAGTCGCCCCCCGCGCCGCGGTCTCCTCCATCCCGGGATTGCGTATTGGTTGCGGCTGCGGCGCGGCTTTCGATAGAAATTTCGCCGTTCCCCCACCTAGTACGTCACGTTACCACCCACTCTGCACTGCAGTCATCACATCACTCCACTCGATTCGGCTCAGCAGCTGCGGGCTTTTCCGATCAAGATTCCCATCTGATGAATCGGAACACGCCCCCGGCCCGTCGAGTCGACTGCCTTTGCCCTACTTTCTCCAAAATCCTTCTTCTCCACACGGTGACGCGTCGACGCCCAAGACGAAGACGAGGGGTCGAGGATTGGGTCCAGTTCCGGTCGTCGTCTGCTGCTGTCTTCCTCCACCACAATCAGCTCCACAGTTGGAATAGGATTATAGGAAGGAGTATGTGCCTTAACTTAGGGACGAAGAACAAGCGGCGACGACTCCGTACTCGTATCCGAGAAGAGAGGACATCAGTTGTATCATGGAAATCATGGAGGCCTTTGGGGACGCTACTGGGCTGCGCATTAATATGACGAAGAGCACGGTGGCTACGATTAGATGTGCAGGCTTAGATATGGAGGAGGTGCTGAGGGAATTCTTGGGCGCCAGGGTAAACTTCCCTACCCAATACGTAGGACTGCCTCTGAATCTAGGAAGGATCCAAGATCGGGCAAAAGGGAAAATAGCTGGCTGGCAAGGGAAGTTGATCACCGTTGCTGGAAGAAAGAAGTTGATAAGGTCGGTGGTTACCTCGCTACCTGTATACCTGATTACAGCTATCAAACCTCCCAAAAAGTTCATGAAGGAACTAGACAAGCTCAGACGTCGCTTTCTCTAGGCCGGACAGCTCACCGGAGAAAAGTGTAAGGTGGCATGGACGAAAGTGTGTACACCGACAGTAAATGGAGGACCGGGAATCAAGGATCTCAAGGCTTTCAGTCGATCGCTACGATTAAGGTAGTGTTTGGATCCGGTGACTAAAATTTAGGAGGTGTCATATGAGGGTGTCGCATGGGGTGTTCGGATACTAATAAAAAAACAAATTACAGAATCCGTCGGTACTCCACGAGACGAATTTATTAAGACTAATTAATATGTCATTAGCACATGTTTACTGTAGCACAACATTATCAAATCATGGGCTAATTTGGCTTAAAAGATTTGTCTCGTAAATTAGTCGCAAACTGTGCAATTAGTTTCGTAATTAGTCTATATTTAATACTCCATGCATGTGTCCAAACATCCGATGAGACAGCGACTAAAGTTTAGGAGGAGGAACCAAACACCCCCTAAGATAGATATGGTATGCCTAGGATGACAGGGACCGTCCTTGGAAGGGCCTGTGGCTTCAAGCTGACAATGAAGACAGGCGCGTTTTCAACGCCGCGACTAAGGTGGACCTTGGCAATGGATGCAAGGCTTCCTTCTGGACATCACGGTGGCTAGACGGAGACGTCCCCGCAGACTTATTCCCTGAGTTGTTCAGATACAGCAAGAGAAGGAACTGCACTGTGGCAGAGGCGCTGACGGCCAATACTTAGGTCAGGGATATCGACCATAATATGAGCCAACAAATTATCGCGAAATATCTCCAACTATGGGACAAATTATAATCTGTCATCATATGGTTGTTTCTCCAGGACAGGATATGGATAGCAGCAAGGCTGCAGGTGAGGCATTGGCCAAATGAATATTTCTGCCAGCTATGTATACGAAACCTGGAGACTGCAACTTGTTAGAATTGATCTCATCCGTCTTGACCCAACAGTCGAGACGGACCCCTTGACCGTGTCCTGATCAGGGACGTCCAGCCATCTAATGGCTAGTGGGCCCCCGTCGCATAGTGCCTATAAAGAGGAGGTGGGGCAAACGGCTCTTGACACGAGGTTCACTGCCGCCGCCACAACCCCACCGTCTAACCCTAGTCCGATCGAGAGGGAGGCACTGCCAGCGGCGGGAAGCGCCACTGGCTCCACCACCGCTACACCAACCGTCGCTGCCCGTGTGTAGATCTTCACCGACGAACCAGCGAAGGCAGGGAGCTCCTCCGACGGTCAGATGCTTCTACATCTCCCTCTCTCTCTCTCTCCTACTCCCTCTGAATCTCTAAGTCACTGATTATCCCAAATACAAGTAAACACCCACTGGATCTACACCTAGACGATCTAAAGAATCTAACAATTGTATCAGAGCCAGTCTAGTTCGTAGATCTGGATCGGGGAAAGAAAAGCAAATCGAACACTAACCCTAGATCGGGTACGGGAAAAGTGTGAATGAGATTTAGACACGGTTTCAACAAAGAACCCTAACCCTAGCAGTTCGCCAGCCTAGGGTGTAGATCTAGGGTTTCCGAATCAAAAGCAAAGAAAAACGAAGAAAGGAAAAGAACGGATTAGATCCTTCGGATCTGAGCAGACAGAAGGGGTTCCTTAACCCTAACCCTAACTGGGTGAAGATAGAAGGGGCTCGACCTTAAGACCGCTTGATCCGAACCCTAATCCACTACAGACTCGGGGAAGAAGAAGAACAGGGTGAATCCCTAACCCGAAACCCTAACCCTAGATCCAATCCCCATCCCCAAATCGATCAAAACCGAGAAGAGAAGCAAGATCCAAACAAGCAGAAACACAGAAGGGGAAAGGGAAAAGCAAGGCCGGTGGCTTACCTCACCGCTGCCATCTCCGTCGTCGTGCGGGAAAGATCAGACCGCGCCGGTGTTCGTCGCTGAGATGCATCCGCATGGGTACGGGTATAGGGTGTCGACACGGAGCCGCTTGATGGCGGTGTGCTCTCCCGATGGGGAGCGCGCTCGCCGACAAAGAGGGCCCGCGATGGCGCCGTCTTTGTCTTCTCCTCCGGCGCGGCTCGCCGTCGCTCGAGTGCATTCTGAGAGAGAGAGACGCGCGAGAGAGAAGGGGAGCAAAGAAATGAGGCTAGGGTTCCGGGGGAGGCCGGCCGCGGCGGGTTTTTGATCGGGCGAAACGGCCGGACGGCCATCGGATTTGATCCGACGGCGAGGAGTCACCGGGCCACTCAGCAGCCCAGGCGGGCGAGCGCGCCGCGACGTTTTGCTGGCCTAGGCCCACATTGCGGCCTGGGTGGCTGCGAGCACGCGTGTGGCGAGTTGGGTCGGGCCGTTTTGCCAGTTGGGCCACAACGCAGTAAAGAATTAAGCCATTTTTCTTTTTCTAATTTTCCAGTAAAATGCAATTTCCTGGAAAATGATAAATGGCTCAAAGAAAATTAAAAAAGAGAATTTTCGTGTGGGTAAAATTCAACAATTATGTCCATAGTTCCCGCTGCAGAGATTGTTTTATACTCCGATTAAAATTTTGGATTATTTTAATTGGAGGAATAGTCGGTTTATAGTTAAGATAAATTATAATATTGTTATTTTCTGACCAACGTTGATGATAACAATATTATAAGTTTATTTATAAGTTGATAGTTAAAGTTAAATTATGGTATTGTTATTTTCTGACCAACGTTGATGATAACAATATTATAATTCTATGAGTTTTATGATTAAAGTTTAAATCTCTGATGAATTTTGCATCAAAGTGACCAATTTTCAGATAATAGATAAAGATCAAGGAATGCTCTTAAACTAGAGAAATGTATTTTCATGTTTCCGCTGCAATGAAGTTGATTATCTTCTAATTAAATTCGAACCAACGGGATAATTTAATTTTGAGGAACACTTCTATGTTTTCAAGATTATTGAGTTTCTATACGTTAATTTCATTTTTGTCCAACGGTGATGTGGAATTAGTGTAAAAGAATGATGTTTTATTCTATTTTTGCCCAACGGTGATATAGAATAGAACATAAAGATTTCAAAGTCTAATGAGCATTATTGTTGAATATTTTTTCAGATAAAAGACCTCCATGCTTTCTTTCTTGAAGGCAGTAAAAGAAATGAGCTGGGTACTTGTGACTCAGATGATTTAATGCCTAAGGGCAAGTTATGTATGAAAGAATGCCATTGCTTAAGGGACTATGTTCTCTTTAAAGAATGGCTTCGAAAGAAAAGAATTCTAGGATATTGATCCAAGAAAAGAGATAGATCAATGAGAGTCTTCATTGAGAAATGTCTTTTATGTACTCTCTGTGAAGAAGAATTTATTTTCAGTTTCACTTATGAGAGTTATAAAAGTCATATAAATGTTTAATTTGACCAACATTGGATTAAACATGTGTGTTAAAAGAATATTTGGATTTATTTCTGAATTTGATTATTACACATGAGCCAATCCTGGCATTTATGTCCGTTTGAGGGAATTATCTCGCATGACGGTAAAAATTTGTGATAGTACCCGCATGACGGGAAAAGTTTGAGAAAATATCCACATGGCGGGGTAAAGTTATCATAGTACTTATCCCATATGGCGGGAGAAGGATGTGATGACTCATGTGCTCTAACTGTATCCAGCACATGGAGAGAAGTTTGGGGTAGCTCTTATGCTATCCTAATACTGACCGTACACTCTGATTGTGTCATGGTCATTAAGTATTCAATGAGTTTAAGAACAAAAGAAAGTTGCATGTGAACCAAAAGATAAGAATGATATGCAAGCATGACTTGCAGAAGTATTAAAAATAATGGACTATGTTGAGTTTTGAAGTGAAATGAGGAAAATGTACTCCCATACGAATTTTGTTTGCATGATGTAATCATGTGGACGAAGTAAGTAATCAAAGTTTCCTCATTAACAAGAGTTCAGAATATTTCGAAATTGTGGTAGAAAAGTGCATACCACATTTCGAGGGGAAGAAATGGAAGATAGAGAAAGACAATTAAGAAAGATACTTCCTCATACTTCAGATAATGAAATGCATACTATGCATTGAAGGTAAAAGTAATCTATAAAAGATGAATGTGATCGTTGAGGGAGTAAAATGGTCATAATAATGATACCACTAAAGTAAAGAAATAGCTAAATTCCTAGACCTTTTACAGTTCCGATAGGAAGATAGCATAGTCGACTAGTATTTATACTGGACGAGTTCAGAGTTATCAAGGCGGTGCTAAACGCGCCATATGAGTTTTTTTAGCAGATTAAACCAAAAATAAGAAATTTGAAGATACACCATCTTTACAGAAGATGGAGTAATCTGGGGGAGCTTGGTATGTAAATACCTAAAGCTTGAATAGAAGTGAGATTACATATCCACTATAGTGTTTTAGAGCAACAAATTGCTTAATACATGTTGATGTTGTATGACATATACAACAACTGATGTTAGCTCTTAAAAAAGATGAATAAGTAAACAAGGATCTTGTGATACAGGAGGCTATAGAACATTTGCCTTTTGGCAAGAAAGAGCAACAATAGCCCCATATGAAAGAAGTGCCACGAGGCCCCAGAAGGCCTCAAAGAATAAGAAAATCAGATATTTCTGGTGACTAAGAAGTCAATGAATAAGAAAGAAATTCAAATGGAGGATAATTCCACCTCATTTGAAAAGCCATGAGAGGCGTTCACTTGTCTAAATGGCAAGAAGCAAAGGAAGATGAAATGAAATCGATAAATACCAACGATGTTTGGGACTTAGAAGAAATTCCCAATGGAGCCAAAACAGTAGGCTGTAATGGGTCTACAAGACAAAGGTGACTCCAAAGGAAATATAAAAAGATATCAAAAGGGAATATTGAAAGATATAAAGCGCCACTTGTGGTGAAATGATTTACACAAAGAGAAAGAATAGATTATAATCAGCATGCAAGAATTCTTTTAGAATCATAATTGTGTTAGTGGCACATTACGATTTACAGTTACATCAGAAAGATGTAAAGACACTTTCCTCAACGGGGATTTGTATGGAAAATTTTACATGGCATAACTCAAAAGGTTTTGTCGTGGAAGAAAAAGAATGTAAGGGATATTGCCGGAAGAAATCCATTTATGGATTAAAGCAAGCTTCAAGACATTGATACTTGAAGTTTGACAGTACAATAAGAAAGTTTGGGTTTTAAAGAGAAGTAGATGACAATTGTATTTATGCAAAGTTTAAACATGGGAAATTTATTTTCCTAATCCTGCATGTGGGTAGCACCTTACTCGCTAGTAGTGGTGTTAATCTACTGTTGGAGAAGAAATAGATCTTGTCCTCAAGTTTTAATGAGAATGATCTTGGTAAAGCGTCATTCGTTCCAGGAATTAGAACTTACTGAGACAAAAGGAAAAGGGGTATTAGAACTATCTCAAGTGTATACTTAGAGAAGATTCTAAAGAAATAAAGTATATATGTGAATAAACCTACGCCTGTTCCTATAGTAAAGGGTAATAGTCTTGGGAACTTTCAGTGTTCCAAGAGCCAATATGAGATCGAAAGGACGTCCTATATGCTTCAGCTGTTGGAAGCTTAATGAGTGCTTATAAGTAAGAACTTACCCTGACATAGTTCATGTATCCGGGATGTTTTGGCAGAAGTCCAGTCCAGATATAGATCACTGGAATGGAGTTGAGAATGTTTTGCAATTGTGCAAAGTTTTATAGGCCTCATGGTGAGTAAGAAAGAATAAGTACTCTCAAATAGTTGTGGGTACAAATGTTAAATTTTGGCGAAATGTTTAGTGAAACCCACATAGTAGCTAACACTCGCAGTTGGAGTTTTATTGTGAAAAAAGCTCCAAAGAAACAGTTGTGGTGTCATCAAAGATGCATACCCACAGTATAGCTTGTTATGAGGCTTAAGGACAGGCGAAATGGTTAAAAGAACTTACACCCGGAATTGATAATGGTATACAACAGCAATAACCATTTAAGTAGTTCGCTCCTATAACAACGGGTCAAGTGTGCTGCCAAACACATTGACGTTAAAGTTATACGTTGTGAAGGAGAAAGTCCGAAATCATACTAAAAGTATTGAACATAAAAGTAACAAGCAAGTGCTTGCGGATCCACGTACAAAAGGCTTACCACCCAGTGTGTTTGGAGAACACACAGTCGACATGGGTTTATGGTATAGCCTATGATTTCCAGACAATAAAGAGCCCAAAAGTTAAAGAATCTGTTTCAGAACAGAGATGTGTATTGTAGCTGTTAAGTCTATTGGCGATTGACCGTGACGATGAAGCATGCTATATGCACTAATCTGTGATGAAACAAATAAAAGTGAAAGGGATTAAAGTCAAAGTTTAAAGTTAAAGTATGAGTTGAGATCAAAGAGGAGAATGTTAGAATTGATCTCATCCGTCTTGACCCAACGGTCGAGACGGACCCCTTTGACCGCGTCTTGATCGGGGACGTCCAGCCATCTAGTGGCTAGTGGGCCTCCGTCGCACAGTGCCTATAAAAAGAGGAGGTGGGGCAAACGGCTCTTGACACGAGGTTCACTGCCGCCGCCACAACCCCACCGTCTAACCCTAGTCCGATCGAGAGGGAAGCACTGTCAGCGGCGGGAAGCGCCACTGGCTCCACCACCGCTACACCAATCATCGCTGCCCGTGCGTAGATCTTCACCGATGAACCAGCGAAGGCAGGGAGCTCCTCCGATGGTCAGATGCTTCTACGTCTCCCTCTCTCTCTCTCTGTCCCCTACTCCCTCTGAATCTCTAAGTCACTGATTATTCCAAATACAAGTAAACACCCACTGGATCTACACCTAGACGATCTAAATAATCTAACACAACTCACCTATTCGTTGAGTGTCTAGTGGTCAAAATGATATGGGAAAATGGTGGGGCTCTAGGTGAGAGCACCGTGCCAGCAGCCGGCAAATTGGGAAGACGCAGATCATGTCAAGGAGTGGTTTCTTCAGATGATGAACAGACTACCGTCACCAATGAAGGAGGGGCTGAGATCACTGATCGTGTTGACCATATGGGAAGTGTGGCGTGAAAGAAACATCAGAGTTTTCAGGAAAGAATGCAGGCAAGTGCAGAAGATTATGGAATTCATTTATGATGAAGCCAATACGTGGGCACATGCAGGAAACAAAGGGCTGCAACTTATACTGCCGGGGCAGAGCGACGTTCAGTCTCATGTAGTGGATCGGCCAGAAATGGCAAATGGCCTAGTTATTCCTCCAACGTATGTAAATTAATCTTCAGGCAAACCAGGGGTGGCTTGGACCTCACTTAGCTGAGCTCCAAGCATAAATGGGTGCTGGCGTAGCTTGTGCCAGAACTTTTACTGTAATTATTTTCTAATCTTATCGATGAAACCCGGTAACGGATCTTTTGGAAAAAAAAAATTGACTATCTTTCGACCGCCGCTACGGTTGGTGACTGTTTGCAGGGCTAGCTGCAGTGCAGAGTTCCTTAACCTGGACGGTGGACACCATGCGCCGCCGCGCCTAAACCAAACGTACTTGAGGACAGTTGCAGTCCACGTGAACGCCCCCCTGCACTTTCCTTTCCTTCCTATCTCCAAACGTCTAAGACCATGTTTAGTTCATCCAAATTCTCAACTTTGATATTATGTAAAAAAAGATTCTTCGTCACATTAAACTTATGGTACATACATGAAGTACTAAATGTTGACGAAATCAAAAACTAATTGCATAGTTTGGTTGTACTCTGCGAGACGAACGTTTTGAGCCTAATTAGTCAACGATTGGACAATTATTACCAAATACAAACGAAATGCTACATTGCAACTGTGTGCTGCAGCGTTTTTTGCGTCGCCAAATTCAAGCAGCTAAACATGGCCCAAACTCAACTCAAGCACCATACATGCTCTTATATATATATACACACGTACTGTTTTATAGCTGGCCACAGAATAAATTATTCTGTGACCACTTTGAGTTACGATAATTACTATACTAATTTACGAGATTATGGTAACTCCCTTATAAGTGATTTAGTATAACATTATGGTAAGTATCATCTTGAATTATAGTAATCATGTATCGTAAATGTGTATTGTCATTATCGTAAATTAGTACAAACATTATCGTAAATCAAGGTGGCTATAGAATAAGTTATTCTGTGACCAGCTACAGAATAGCCTTACCGTGTTATATATATATATATATATATATATATATATATATATATATATATATATATATATATATATATATATATATATATATATATATATATATAAAAGGGTTCAATACAACTGACGCATAGCAGCAATTTGCATGCAGCCTGAAAACTATATACTTTTTTTAAATGATATCCGAGATGGGACGACGAGAGGACACACGTTTTGAGGGTTGAGATCTCACACACAGACATCGAACGGGGGTGCTCTGCTCTGAACTCTGAACCCTGAACTCTGAGCTGAGTAGCTGACACGTACACGGTGATCGAGCTACTGGTGGTGGAATTTAATCGGAGAAGAAGAAGGTGCCTTCGGGGGGCTGGGGCAGCCTGCGGTTGTGCGGCGCGGCCATCTCCTTCTTGAGCTGCGTCAGGAGGTGCTCCATCGTGTACTCCCGCCGCCACTCCCGCAGCGTCGGCAGCTTGTCGGCTTCCACCACCCCGGTGTCCGGGTGGACGCAGGCGAGGTTGATCCGGGAGTGGAACCGCACGGCCGGCGGCTTGTCGGGGTAGTCCTTGTCGCACACCAGCTTCAGCTGGTAGATGCGACCCTCGTGCACGCACTGCATATATGCATGTAGTTGTGGTTGTGCTGGTTATGCATGCTTGCTCGATCTGCATAGGGAATTCGATGAAGTAGTAGCTAGAGCAGAGTCCTACGTACGTTGAGGGGCCCTATGATGGTCCCGGTCCAGGAGCGCATGACGATGTCGTCGCCGTCGTCCATGCCGTAGCTGACGCTGCCGTCGCCGATGCCCTTCTCCCCGCGCTCCAGCTCCTCCAGCAGCCGGAAGTTGCGGGGCACTGCAGTGCGTGCACGCGCGCGTGGTCACAACTCACAGGTCAGAACGGAGGAGCAGGGAAATAAGCTGGGAAGCTGCTGCATCTGCATGGCATGCCATCATGGAAGGAAAAATACTCAGTATAATGGTGGTGGGTAGGTACCGACGACGGTGTCGGAGGCGGCGGAGCCCATCGTCATGGCGGCCGGCCGGATCGGAGGAGAAGCACAATGCAAGCTCGATCGGCGAGCGAAATAAGCTGGGTGGGCGGGGAACGACCGGGCCGTGCTTTGAGCATAAAAAGGAACACGGAAGGGCAAGGCCACTCGGGTTGCTTTCGCCTTTTCGCTGCTGCTACCGCTGCATCTGTGCATGGGTGCGTGCGAACCACGCAGCGGCGAGCGGCTGCGACGAGATGCCCGGCCGCCCCCCCGTCCCCCGACTGCCACTGGCCACTCGATCGGCCGGCACGCCGGCCCCTCGCTCCGAATCATCTCCACCTTTTCTTTTCCTCTCTTGAGTGCTGCCTGCTTCTTTCGTTCCATTCATTCATCTTTTGCTTTGTCAACGGTTCGTCCATGGACTTTTGTTTCATCTCTTGCGTTTCTGGGCCAGCCCGGGCCAAAAAGTCTCCGGCCCATCGATCAACGGACACATGCTTCCGCCGGTCGTCATTAGCCACCAGCAGGTGCAGGGACGGCAACGCGGAGCCACACGCCCACACCTCACACAATCTCGCGGCTCACGTGACGTCACGTGTTTCTAAAACCACCATGCATGTGAATCGAATCGACCATGACGCAAAACACAAAACGTTTCACAAGTTGAGAAGATAACATCCGATTTTATAGCCCGAGGAGAAACTATCCGGTTTTTTTCGACATTAGTTGAGCGAGATATATAAATCTTAAAAAACTAAATAAAGACATGAGGCCTTGCATCGCATGTAGGTCAGTGACAACATCTCGAGGTTGACGGGAGGCAGCCCTTTGCGGTGGCGGCCCTGTCACATTTACATCCCTCCATGGACGGATGGATGGAAAACACACGCACGGCATAGAAAAGGAAATTAAAGCACGGGACGAACGGAAAAAGAAAGTTGGCCTGCCATGGCTGGGGATCGATTGGAGGTGGTCAGGTGGATATATATATATACGGGACTGCGATCAGTCATCTCTATCTCAACTGCCCCTCCCTGTTCCCTCCATCTCTAATTGTTGACTAATTATAGACTATAATTATTAATTATCTCTGTTAGTATGATATGTTTTCTACCATGGGCGGATACAGAGGGTATTCCCCATATTCCCAGGAATTATCTCTGTATATACTTGTATATGTATATGATATGTTTTGTACCTATTTTTATCATTGAAGCCCAAAACAGTAAAAAAAACAGCCTCTCAAATTAGCTCATAGTAGTGTTTTCAAATCTTAAAAAATGAAATTTGGAAAGAAAAAGTTTGGAACCAACACTGTTTTCTACCCATTGTGTTAAATCAAATCTTAAAATAGATTTAAGAAAAATACCAACACTTGTGTTAAATCGAGAACTTGTTGGATCCAACGAGTATATTTCACCGTCTGCAAGAAACCTAATTGCTACTCCCTCCGTCCTGAAATTAATGCTCTCGTTTCACGAGGAGTCAAACTTTTTAAGTTTGACTAAAAATATAGAAAATAATATCATTATTTCTATCTCCAAATAAGTATATATTATGAAAGTATATTCTATGTTCCTAATGTACATCATAAATATTAATACATTTTGTATATATCTAGTCAAACTTTTAAAAAAATTGACTTCTTACAAAACCAGATGTGCGTCTGCTCGGCCAGCAATTAAAGATGCACACAAGTTACGCATGACGATATTGCTACCTCTCTTTTGCTGCTCCTGGCTCCTGCTCTCTCGCTCGCCCCCGAGTAATTAATTAAGCCACCAAAAGCTGGAGGTTGATTGGTCGTCACAAGCCTACTCTACCCAGATTTAATTAAAGGTAGCAACCCATTCAATCGTGCACAGGGTACTCGCCTCCCTCCCATCGCCAAGGCCCAAGTGGTGGCTGGCTAGCTGATCAAAGCAATTCCTTCCTCTGCAGTACGTACTGCTTGTGTACGTGTTTGTAGATAGAGATGCAACCCTTTGTCAATATACTCACTCCATAATGGGGTGTCAGTGTAGGGATGATGAGAATCCCCTAGCGGATCTACTCCCTGATTGTGTATTCAGTGCATGGTGGCTGCCGATTGTGCAGCCTAGCTCTGAATAATGGAATATTTTTCCATTTAAAACAAAATACTCACTCCATATAACATCACGAGGACACACAGCTAATTAAGAAAAATTTGCAATCTTCTTGAACAACACAGCACCTAATATTCATTCATTCACTTCACTTCACTGCTAGGTAGTAGTGGTAGCTAGGAAGCGATCTACCACTACGTGACACCAGCAGGCTAATAATGAACTCAACTCACTGCACCCAACATGGTGGCTTGCATTGCATTACATTGTTGGCTGCCTAATCTAGCCAAATGTGTAGTAGTTCTCATGGCACTTCCCTAGCTAGCTAACTTGTACTACAAATTTTGATTAGATCCATCCATCTATGCATGGGCCTGTTCGCTGATCGGTACTGGTGCTGGTTTGGGCTGGCTGGTGCTGATTTTTGATAGATCCATCCATCCATGCATGCATGGATCGATCGATCGGAGCCATCACTTGCATGCATGCTAGCAGCTAGCTACTACTAGTAGTACATGCTAGTATTGCCAAGCACCAACTGGTTAAGGAGAGGAGGCAGTGCAGTGCAAATTACCATGTGAACGAAGATGAAGAAGAAGAAAAAAGGTACTACAAAGAAAGGAAAACTACAAAGGGCAGCAGCAATTAAAACACACAAGCGGTTAAATTAGAGGGACAGATCGATCGATCGACCTAGCTAACTAGCTAATAGGGCCTGCATGTTACTGCCGGCCGGCCGGCAGATTGCCGTTGATGTCGTCGCCGCCGTGGCCGCCGGCGCGGAGGAAGTGCAGCAGCACGGGGCTCTTGCACCGCGGGCACTTGGGCTGCTGCTCCTCCCCGGACAGCATCACGTACATGAGGCACTGCGGGCACCCCACCACCACCATCGGCTTCGGCTGCACCGCCACCACCTCGTCCTCCGCGTCCGATGACACGCACGAGCTCGCCGGCGACTCTGCCGCCGACCCGCCGCCGGCCATCGTCGGCCTCTTGCCCTGCTCGCTCATGCACGCACGCTTCTCAGCTGATGATTCTCCGAGCGCTACCTACCTAGCTAGGCCGGCCTGTCAGCCTTAGCCGGTGTGGATGAAGAGAGGCTTTTGTTTGGCTTGTGAAAGAATGGTGCAGCTCCAGACCACTATTTATAGTGCAGTGCTGTGCTGTGCTGTGCTGTGCGTGCCTTGCGTTGCGTTGCAGCCCCGGACCAAAAGGCTGACGTGCACCAATGCACCATGCAGTATAGTGCAAGTTTGCAACCAAATGAAATATTATATTAGTTGTGCTTTCACGCCCTTTTCAAATAAATATCCCTAAGCAAACCATTGTATTTTTTTTACAAGTTTTGCCGTCAATACCTCCCTGTCAAAAATTAAAATAAGGACCAGCTGGCACCACCGGTCCCTTTCAGGGTCTTTATTCATATTGTACAACCTCCAAATTCATACGAGCTACTACCTTTATTTCCTGACATTAATTACTTTTCACGAGACTATTACTTGTTCCTTACTAATACCATCCTCTAGGCTCTAGTTTAGCTATACTTTAATGTGAACTTGGCTTCAAGCTTCATGCACTCAATACGTTTGAGTTTTGGCCTATCATGTATCTAGACATGGTACACATATGTATAGGTGCATAGCCCTAGAAAAACCGAAATGGCTTACGATTTGGAGAGGAGGGATATAGTATCACGATTTTACCATATAATTCATGTATATAGCATATAGATTTCATAATACGAGTAACTAGTGGTTTTCATGACTGTCTATACTACACTCTTTTGCAACCAGAGAGTGGACCAATTTCAGTGACTTTATTATTTTTTAATGTCCATCTCTACTATGATATTTTCCATGCCCAAAAGGGTGGGAAGACATGGAACTGTTTTTTTTCCAGGAACTATTTTTGTTTCGTTAGTCCAAGCACATGATTGGCTTGCATTATGGCAAGCATCTATTTTCAAAATGTCGTCCAACAACCATAGGCCAGTGGTCAGAAATTCCAGCGGTAATCAATGGAATTCAACTGTGCATAGTTTCATACGTTGCCTAGCAACGCACTCCTTCGATCCATCAATGCATGGTCTACTCTGATTTGGAAAGAACATGCATGATTCTTTATAGTGTACTCACTATGTCTTGTAATACAATGTATTCTAGAAAATTTATGACAAATTAAAAAAGAACATAAAATATGCATGTATCCTCATTTTATTTCCTAATCAGACGCTATCATCAACGTGATTAATGATGATTTGTTGATATATATGCAAACCTGGTTTTGTCTTCTAGAATGTATTATATTTGAGAACAAATTTTGAATGCTAGAATGTACTATATTACATGACGGAGAGAGCAATATACACAAAAGTTGCAGCAAAGATTTATAATTCAAAATATTTTTATAATAGATATTTGATTTATAGCGATTGACAATATATTTCAAGAGAAAAATACGAGTCAAAATCAGAATATTGTAGGAGAAAACAATATGTGTCAAAATCAGAATACTGTAAGAGAGAATGTTTGATTTCTAGCAATTAGCAATATATTGCAAGAGAAAAAAAATATTATTAGACAGTTTCTTCTATCAAAATATGAGTGGCGAGGGAATACTTCAAGCAGGGGCAGCGGGGCATAGACAGAGGTAGAGGCGAAACTAAGCCTCCGCCCCACTTTCTCTGTGTGACACTACACAATAGTTATTTGATGGTCTATAATCCTAGTTTTGATAGCCTATAATCCTCATGAATGGTTTATAGGATTGCACCTAACTCTTATGGCAGTAGTTTTTGCAATTAGCTCCTCCTTACTTTTGGTTCACCCTCTGGCACTGGGCACAGATGGAAAAAGAAAACACAAAAAAGCTGCACCCTGGCCAGCGGCCACGACTATTCTTAGAACAACTCCCAATAAATAAATTTGAAGTAGCATATTTTGAGACAGTGGAAGTAGTTTAGTAGAGTGATGAAAATGATTCACAAGTTACACCAAATGAGCAAGTAGAATATTACCAAATAAACGCCACCATGCACGGCTACCATTAACGCTAGCTTTTTGAAACAATTAACGCTCTACTCCTCTGAGCTCGAAGTCAACATTTTCCCAAAAGAACGGGGATCGCTGCCCTCCAGTCGTGTCATTTCCAGTTTCTCCTGTAGGAACAAAAATACATCCGGTCTCTTTCCCCTTTCCAATCTTCCGGCCATAGCCTGCTGTTGGATACATCCTGTTCGTCCAAGCTACTTTTCAGTTATACAATAGTGTTTTTCTCTCACAATATTTTAGCATAAGCATAAGCATAAGCTAAATTTCAACATAAGCGAACAGACAATCATACATCTAAGAACTTAGCGTTGGACATAACTTAAAACAACTTAAAACATTCAATAAATTTAATTAAACTTAAAAAAGTTTAACTTAAAACAACTTTAAGAGAGCACGTATACGATAGAGGCTTATTTGTGGAAAAAACATTACAATCAAGAATCCCTTGCACGAATTTATGGTGCGTATGGATTCAGAAGGGGCAACGCAGCTAAGCAAGCATAAATAACGGGCATAAATGAAGCACTGTTTTATCTTGTGGCAAGACTTGAATGTGGGAGGCCACTTTTGATTCAATGAAAGATACCGGCCAGCTAATGGTTCGCAGCTCATATTCATATCACACACAAACGCACAAACACACACCAATCTCAAAAAAATATAATGCCGTCTTGTGCAGGCAGGCATTCAAGTGTCCCGGCTAGTAAGGCTGTATTTAGTTCACGAATTTTAGGAATTTGAATACTGTAGCATTTTGTTTTTATTTAGCAATTAGTGTTTAATCATAGATTAATTAGGCGGCAATCAAACAAGCTCTCACATTTAATGAGCGATCGTAAGATTCGATGTGATAATTATTGTACCACTTTTTGAAACTAAACAAGCACTAAAGCCGCTCTCAGCTTGGACAGGGGCGGGCAATTCCAAGCTCTCACACTGAGCCGGGCTGTGCTACGTTAAGGCTCATTTGATTGAAGCTGCTGTACTGGAAGATGCCAAATCTTAAATGAGAAAACAGTCATCATGTATGACTTGATTGGAGTTGTACTTCAGTTTCAAAGAGGGAATTCCCCCCCATTCAATCGGCACACAGACTGCAATAAAGCACAAGGCACCAATCTAAAGTCCTATTTTACCATGTGTAAAAATCATCAGAACAAAACCACACACATTATATAGAAAGTTGATCTACAATCATGTTTAAACTCTTATTTTGCCATGTTTAAAATCGTCAGCTGTTCTTTATAGAACTCAATTCAGTTCATATAGCTTACCAAAGGAAGAGAAGAGGTTGCAGAGCTCTGCATAATAATATATATGTACTATAAAGTATAGGAGTACAAGTCAAGTGCAGTTACTAGTCCTGTGCTGGGAAATGCTCGCTCAGTGGCAATGACAGAGCCACAGAGGTGGTATTCAACTATTGCCCTACAGACCCTCTACAGGCTCTACTACTCTAGTAGGCCCTACTAATGTCGTACTATGAAATGCGTGCAGAGACCTTAATTTCATTGTACGACATTAGTAGGCCTGGTTTAGTTTCCAACCAAATTCTCAAAAATTACTGATGGTTGGCCTGCGACTCTTGAAGAAACGCGGCAGAGGACATTAAATCAGATGAAAAAAATTAATAAGATTTGGTTGAAAATTACGAGAGGCCACAGGTTTTAAGCCTAATTAATCCATGATTGAATAAAATTGTCAAATCGGCTTACCCCATACGGCAAGTTTGTTCCTAAAATTTTCGAACTGACGGCTGCGTTTTTTTGAAGAAATAATTTAGGACAGGCAACAGTGTTTTAAAAACACAATAAGATTCCAAACCCTTCTCTTGACAGGCCACAGGCAAGTAGCCTGTGATTCGAGGACATAAAGTTTCATCAGAAACAGAGTGTTTTAGATGTGGCTTAGAATCAAATTATGAAAACTCCTCAAACTGGCAATTGGTGATCATTATAGGCAGACTATACTTCTAAAATGATTGTTTTCTTTCGTCTTAATTGAGTGGCAGAGTCATGCCTTTGTTTCAAAAAAAAAAAAAAGATTGTTACATAACTTACGGTCAACTCATAATGATAGGCATACTATACTTCTAAAAAGACGTCCACAAAGTTGATATATATTAACCTTGATAGTTTAACTCTGGCACTGAAGCAGTAGTGAGGGATCGGAGAAAGGTTAAAACTGTCTTGATATTATGTCACTAGTCATCAAGATCATGATCCTCATCATTATCACTAAACTCTGAGTCACTACGAGACTCAGAATCTCCGTCACTTACAGAACTTGAAGCCTCCAAATTTTCTGAAGAGTGGTCTGTAATGTGAGGGAATAGGGTTTCATCAGAACCACTGTCAATTTGAACACTGGCCTGGAATCGAATTACGAGAAACTACACAGATTGGCAATCAGTGATCATTATTGGCAGACTTCTCTTTCAAAATTGATTCTTACAGGACTTACGGTTAACTCACTAATGATAGACATACCATGCTTGTAAAAAGATGACAACAAGGGTTGAGATATATTAAGCACAAATGTGCACGTCATACCTTGATTAAATCTGGAACTGAAGTAGTAGTGAGGGATCGCAGAAAGGTTAAAACCGTCATGATATTATGTCACAAGTCATCAGTGTCATGATCCCTTTCATTATCACTAAATTCTGAATCACTGCAAGACTCAAAAAGTCAGAATCCCCATCGCTTACAAAATTCAAAGCCTCCAAATTTTCTGATGAATTCCAATCAGGTGGATATATTCTCTGAAGTGTTCTGTTAGTGCCCCTCAGTCCTCTCAATCTTGTGAAGCCATTTTAACCAATGAATAGCAATGCGCAGGTCAACAGCCAAATCTTTCTCAAATATTTCCCTACAGACACTCAAGATTCTTGTGTAGGTGCTTCCCTCCATCACGGTTGCCCTCGAGAGTAG